TATCAATGGCTTCTCTCTCTCCATGAAGGTGTATAACACCTCGTATTTCTAAATGTATAATTACATGAGATAATGATGATCAAATGGTAGGATTAGTGAAAATCATAAAATTAGCGCCAAAATACGTAAAAAGGGCAAAATGGTAATTTACCAAACACGTATCCCTAGGCATGAAAAATTGAGTAGAAGGTCTCAAATGATAAAAATAATGCCGGAAATGGATTCACGACGAAAAATTGAGTGGATAGGCAAGTTTCAGAAAAATTGATGAATAATGATTTTAACGGTGTAAAATACTGCGGTATAATTGTACCGATAAGCGTGAAAATATGATCAGTATTTTTAGGAAATAAAAATATGACGTGAACGAGAAAAATACGAAGGTTATGAATTTGTGGATTAAAATGGATGATTTAAGAAAGTTAAGTGACGTGTGGGACCCACTTAAGTGACTTAAGAGCCAAATGTTCTCAAAAATTCTGAACCTTCTCTCTCCTCTTCTCCTTCTTCACGTCGAGCAAATGGCCATGGAGGGGGTCTTGGCTCTTTGAAATTCTATCTTTTTTCTAGACACTTTTGAGAGAAACTTCCAACTAGAAAGTTGCTCTCTATCATCTTGTGAGTGACTTTCATGTAAAGTGCATCTTGTGGGGAGCTTTCTGGAGGGAGAAAACCTCCATTTATAGCCGCGAATTTGGTGGCATTTTGGTGAAATTTTGGGGATCCTTGTGTTGATTCATCGGTTGGAGGTCATCCCCTTGGACCCTAGGGAGCTATTGGTGGTAAGTTTTCACACTCTCTTTGAGTTTTAATGGAGATCATAAATTGGACGAGGGTTTTGAAGTTGTAAATTGAGTTATGGTAGTTATGAACATTAAATGGTATGTCTCCTTTGGAATTAAATGTTTAGAATGATAAATGATGATGATTGATGTAATAAAAATTATTGTGATTTGGAATTTTTAACTTTAGGAAATTTTATGATGAGATTTCAATACTTTATGAATGGTCATGATGATGGGATTGGATAATTGAGTTGTGGAGCATTGATATGGATTAATAATGAGATTGTAAGACATGTGAAAGTGTTAAATTGAATTGAAAGCCTTAGTGTAGGCTTCCTTGAAGAATTCGAACCATAAAGGGTTTGGAGGAAAAATGATGTAAAAATTGTGTAGTTGATGTTGTGGAATTAGAAGGAAGAATGTTGGATGTATTGAGTATGTGATAATTTGACCTATAATGATGTATAAGGAAAAATAAGTGTAAATAGCCCTTTGGCCTAAGTGAATGGTTTTGTGTATGAGTATTTTGAAAGTGAATTGATTGCCTTGTGAATTGTATTGTTGATCATTATTGTTTGATCATATAGGTTGCCTCTCATGGAACCAATAGAAGTGGAATAAGCTTGGAGCTTACGTGGAAGAGCAAAAATTGCGGAGTAGAGGTAAACATTTGGAACTTGGGTTTTAATCGCTTGTGTGCTTCACCACACCTAGTGGAAGGTTGTGGTTGGATTTTGTGCCTTTGAACATTGTGTGAATATGTATGTTCATGCATTATTGCTTGATTGTGTGATATGCTTGGAGCATGTTGTGCGTGAAATTTTGTGATCTCTGGCCAGTAGATGTGTGTTGGTTTGGACTTCCGCTGGAGATATCCTTTGGGGATCCCGGTCGGGTTTTGCCGTGGGGCCGACTCTGGGAGCGGTACCGGGATGATCCAAACGTGGGACTTCCACTAGATAGGGCTCATGAGGAGTTTCAGTTGGGTTTTTTCATGAGGTCGTCTCATCCATGGGAAATGCATCAGAAAGCTTCCCGGGGGTTATATGATGGGGTCCTTGAACGGAATCCTGATGTGAATGCTCTTGGATTTGTGCCCAGTTGTTGTGATTTTGTATGTTATGCATTTTACATTATGTTATTGTTGCACATTGAGTGAGCCATGGGGTGGAGTGATCCTCTAGTACCCTTGGTTTACTGAGATATATTTGTATATCTCACCCCGCATTTGGGGACATCATTTCAGGTTATAGTGAGCATGGATGATCTTCGGGCAAGAGGCTCGCTTAGTGGATGAGCTGAGCATGATGTGCATATGGAGAACATGATATTTTGGAGGACTATAATTGATGCACATAACATTGCATTTAGTATTTTGGACTTAGGTTATGACATATTGCATGTTGATATTGCCATGCTTTTGGGTGTTCATAACTGTATGCTAAGTCTTGGTAGTTGATGTACATATATATGCCTACTGTTATATTGGTATTTTGGTGAGCATGAGACTTGTCCATGGCCACATAGTTGATGTTTTGAGGCATTGGAAGACTTGTGTTGTAATTAGACCATTTGATGTGTAAAATGGCTATGATATTGGGAATTATTGTAATTGATGCATTACATAATTAATACGCATGATGGAAGGGCCTAGTGCCTACATTAGATCTTGTGTAAGTGGTACAATGAGTAGTGAAGTGTTAGGAGTAGATTACATCACCCTTTTTGTGTGTTAAATGCTGTCATATATCATTTTTACAGTAGGGTAATCAATTACCTTGCTTTGGTAATCAATTACCTAAAACAGGGGACGTAATAATGAGCCACTGTGTTCAAAGTAATCGATTACCTTGACATAGGTAATTGATTACCTATGTCTAGATAATCGATTACCCAAAACAGGGGAGCCCAAATTTGGCTAGTGTCTCGTTCTGAAGCCTTTGGTAATCGATTACCCAAAAATGGTAATCGATTACCACTGTGTAAAATTTTGAAAATGTGTTTTCTGAAATCTAAAATCAATGGTATTGCTTAGAGAGATGATAATTAGTATGTTTTATGCTTTCGCGAGTTTTGCATTTACAATTATGATGTTGTTTTAATTAGTTACGAAAATGGTTAATTGTGAACCATGAGGATTTAATAAAAGAAAAAGTTTACCCATAATTTAATTAACTCAATTACTGTGATTGTAACTACGCTTAATACCATATGCAATGATAACATTACTGGTACGTAACGGGCTATTACAAGGTGGCTGTGGATGATGATGAAGGAATAAGAAGAAAGTGAGGTGTTTCCCTCATTTAAGTTACTTAATTCACCTTGTTAATAGTCTAAACATAGTAACTTTCTATTTTAATCTTTCTCACTTTATCTTTTCTGTGTAGCCATGACTTATTTCTCAAATTATGTGATTTACTCATAACATTTTTAAAAATATTATTTATTTGAATTTTTTTTAAATATTCGATAGTTTTGCCTGATTGCATTTTTATCGCAAATTTATTGTACGTCTCACTTTTACTATAAAGTGATTTTATTATCTTATTCTCTTTCTTTTCTTGGTAAAAATATTCCTGACTTTACATTTTCTTGTCTTTACATATTCTTCCTTTAATTCTTTGTAGTGTAACCAATTGTATATCTTTATAGTGACTAACCCTTTGTCTACTCTCCTTCAACCTATAAATATAGGTTATTATAAACTTGTAAATACATATGAAATTGGCTAGAGTCGGACACAAATTCTCCTTCTATATTCTATTCCTCTATTTCTCATTTCTATATTTTCTTTATCTCTACAATTTTAACTTTCTCTTATATTCCATATCAATTTCACAACATATTCTTAATTTTAATAGTTATTTTCAATTTAATTTTTATCATAGTTTATGATGATATAAAATGATGATAATAAATAATTTACGAATTTAAAATTAATTATCCTTTTTTATATTTATATAAAAGATATTTATTTATTTAAAGATTATCTTAATGCCATAATAATTAGTCAAGATAATATTCATATAATTTTTTCCTTTAAAAATATTCGTACAAAAGTTATTTTATTTTTTAATTTATCTTATATATATATATATATATATATATATTATGATATACTTTAACCAAGAAAATAATATTTTTTATTTTTAATTATTTTTTATTTATGAATTTCTAAATTTTTAAGATAATACTTAATTTTTATGAGATATTATGTTTATGAAATACATAAATGGAAAAAATATTTGTCTTTTTAAATGATACAACTTATATCATTTCACTTTCACAAAGAGGTGGAACCCACACTTTTTTTTCCTCTCTCTCTCTCTCTCCCTTTATCTATCTTTCTCTCACTTAAAATGACACAATTTTACATCCTTTAAATTTTACATCCTTTAAAATGATATACACTTTCCCTTACATAAATATATGTTTCTTTTTATGAGAATGCTTAATTTGTAAACTTTTAATGTTGACTTTTTTCAATTAATATGTATGTACATTTTCAATTAATAATAAGAAACAAATTTCTCTGACATTTTTTTTAATATTACTGACATTTTTGCAAACAATATTATCGTCGCAAACAACGTTAAGAGAATGATTATATCTAAAAAATTTGCTACTGGTTGACCTAATTTAATTATCTTCTCTAGGCCAACAATGCCCATGGACTAGCAATTCAAAGATGAGGTAATCCCTTAATATCATGTGTGAATCTGTCATTGAGATTCCTCAATGATAAAATTTTAGTATAATTTTCAAATTAACTTGAGAGCATTAATTAAGTGCATGTGTGAATCTTCTCTTTTTTAAGTTAGAAGTTACTTATAAATATATGCTAGGCCAAACGGATTTTAAAAAAAGCTCTTATAATGAATTTTTTTTTTTTTTTTAAATGAAGAAAAGCTAAAAGATAAAAACACCTAGGAAGAGTTTTTTTTAAAGTTCTTATCTAATTTTCTTGAATTGCGTGCTTTTAAAAAAAATAAAAATAAAGAGCTATAGAGATATATATAGAGAGAAAGTTTTCTTGAAACATGTACTTTTAAACTAACATTTTTATGTAATTACCAAACAGCTTTTAGTTTTTTTTTTAGTTTTAACTTTAGCTTCTAGCTTAAAAAAGAGAGGATCTAAACAGACTTTAAGAAACAGTATTATTTACCATAGTAAAGCAACTGGATCTACAGCAAGATGCAAAGCTACTGCTTTTGTTGATATGAATGAAATTCCAGTGTCTCCTCAATTTTCTTAAAGCTGATTCTCTACAGAGGAGCAAAGATGCATGCGAGACATTCTTGATTTTGGATCAGTGTATCAAAACTAATTGACACTTCTTCAATTAGACTTACAGTGCATAAACTGGAGTTGGATGATCTTTAAAAAGCACTTGCCTCGACAAGTGTGACATTATAACTTCCTTATAGAATTGATGTATGCTTCTGGAATAACTAATTTCAGTCGCATAAGAAAAGAATTACTGCAATCCTCAACTGAAAACACCTGAGGTGACAACGTGGCAATAAGAACAAAATTTTCTCCATTCCCCACATCTATCTTGTACAGTTCATGGAAAACTTCCTGAAAATGATTTACCAAGCTGTCATAGAAGGACTTACTTGGAGGAATGACATTAATAGCAAGAATTCCAAACTCAGAAAGAACTAACCTAGCAGCAAGAAGAACATGCTTTCTAACAAATTCCAAGGGTGGAGAACTTATACCATTCCTTACATCGCTTGAATCTAAATCAACCATAACAACATCAAACTTATGGTTGACTTCACTATCCAACGAGTGACTAAAACCATTAAGCTCACAATCAGCCAAAAAACTCGAATTGTGCAGTTTATCACGGTATGCAAGTTTCTTCATAGATTTAATGGCATCTCCAACCTTCACATGGATAAATTCACCGTCTTCCAATCCAAAATAGTTCTTTGCCACCCTCAAAACATCTCTATCAATATCCACACCCATAACCTCAAAACCCAATTGAATTGTCAAAAAAGTTAGCAAGGCCCCACCTCCAACCCCAAGGCATAAAGCTTTTGGTCTAAACCCATTTTGAATTTGTCCGTCTATGTATCCACTGATCAATGAAAGACTAGCCACCATAGGTGCCAAGTAAGGGTGCACCAAAACCCGAAGATCAAGTGTAAACCTCACATCTCCAATCCAAACATTATTCGAACTAGCATCTGTCTCAGGAACAATACGAACCTCTGTTTGAATCAAGTTAGGCATCCTCTTGAACCTTAACCGCCTTCGAAATTCCCTTCTAAGACGACCATGATGCATATCACTCTCAATTTCAATTTCGACATCTTCAACCAACATTTCACCAACATGATGACCAACACCTTCATGTATTACTACACTAGAAACTAAATTATCTTCATAACTCAAAATGGGTATCTCAGGGATGCCATTTATGAACAAAGATCTGGGAGACAAAGCCAGGAGAAGTGGTTTTGACCACACCTCAAATTCTTGCTGATGTAATGAACATTTTAACGGCCGATGATAAATATGTGGTGAAAAATCACCCTTCTTGAGTTGGTTTCCTATCAAAATCAAACGGGATATTCCGGGAGAACTAAAGAGAAGCTGGAGATGACCCAATTCAGTAGAGAAGATCCAATCAGTTTCACGGCCTTCAGGAACTAACAGAGCACCAACTTGGGGTGAGTCAGTGGGCTGGACTGGTGAGTCAAGCACAGCAACCCGGAGCAGTGAATTTGAACAAGTTGGTTTGGGTACAGTAAAGGAGATAAAGCGAGAAGGGCTTAAGCTTTCAAAGGTTGCTATATCAAGGGCCATCACTAAAACTCATCCAAGGCAATTACTTTTCACTCTATTTTTCTCTTGAATATGCCATTTTCCATCCACATAGAAATTATGATTGTTACTCTTAAAAGTGCCACACCTAAACTTGCAGCCTTTTGATATCTTCGAGTCAGCAAAACAATGACACCTATAAACAGGAACAAAAACTCAGAAAAAAAACAAGGGGTGGGGGTAAAAGAACTTACGAGCATAGAGCATTTAGTATATAACAGAATGCAAGTACTAAGCAAATATGGTTATTCTAGTATTGTAATCAGCAAAATGGTAAAACAAAACCAGCCCAGAATAACAATGAAAATGTAAATTAGTGCGGTGATTGTCACATTAAAACCAAAACGGAAATTGAGGGAAAATAAGAAGGGAGAACTGTTCGTAACCAGAATATGAGAGATGATCTTGGAGGACAGATGGTAGACCAATTGTCTCATTGGCCAAAGGTTTCAAAGGTATACATAATGTAAAGAACCAATTCAACCCAAAAGCTTAAGCTGTTAGGTGATGCTACATTAATGGTTTTTATGTATCTCTAACACGCTCCCTCACACGAGAGTCCATTGGACTTAAAGGATGGATATTGCATCAAGCTTAGCCTACCTGTGCTAAGAAACTTCACAAGATTTAATTAATTACTAATTAAATGGGAGGATATGAGGATCGAACCTGTGTCACCGAGGCTCTGATACTATGTCAAGAACCAATTCAACCTAAAAGCTTAGCCTATTGGGTGAGGCTACATTAATGATTTTTATGTATCTCTAACACATAACAAGGTTCAAGAAAATGGTTCAAGTGGCAGGGCCTAGATGGAGTTAGTTACTGAGTAGCATTTAGAAGGCATAGTAGAATGAGAATGATTATTCAGGAGAAGTTAGTTAGAGGAGAGAGGGTGTGAATGATTGTTCAGCTGTAAGCTAAGGGCAGAGGGGTATTCTCTGTACGATCTTTACTCCAGGAAAGTGTTAGCAGTGGCTGTCTTCCACTTTTCTGTTCTTTTTTCTTCCTCCGTAATCCCTTCATTGTTGAAGCTTACGTAAAATAAACAGAATATCCTAATGTTTTAACTCAGTACTGTTGGTTTGAAAGTGAAAGAAATTGAAGGAAAATGATGAGTGTGAGAAAGAGTAGAAAAGGAGCCCGAGAATTTTTTTCTGGATTTTGAAAACCGTTCATTGTATCCCACTGAACTCAAGTCTGAATTCATATATTTAAAAAGTTAAGACAGATTTAGTTAAAAACAGTTGGAGAAAACTGCCTGAACTGAATACAGAAGGAAGGTAGTTAAATCTGTTACAACAGATTTGATACAAGCCCTAAATAACCAACACTGTACTAGACACAAAACTAATCAACACAGCACGTGACATTCTGTCAAGTGCCTTTGAGAGGCACAATGAACAGCAAAAATTGAGCAGGTTGCCAAAACAGACGCATCGGGTTGCCAACACTCATTAATATTTCTTTAACAGCGGGAGATTGGGTGCATGTCTTTGACGTATTAATCCCAAATTAGCACCAAGAAATGGGATCATTTCCAAATTGAAGCTACACTTAGACCTGTTACTTATTGATTGATGATTCCAACTCCTTCTTGGGTTCACTGATATTCCATGTTTCCAAGCTCAAGCAAGCTAGTGGCTCTCAATGTAGATATTCCATGTTTCCAAGCTCAAGCAAGCTAGTGGCTCTCAATGTAGCTGAGCCTGATTTTCCTACAGGAATGGAAGTGGTGTTGTGGCAGGAATAGCAGAACCTCTAGCAATCCTTGCTTCTTGTTAAGATATATAAAACCATTAAATTTAGCCTCACCTATCAGTATTCAATGCCCAAAGGCATCTTAATCCAGCCTATAGGTAGCCCTTTCCGTGGCCTCAACTCTCAATGAAAGCACCAATTGTTACGAACCTTAAGAGCTAGCTTTTGGGGTGGTGACCTCAAGGTTCCTAACAATTGGTGCTTTCATTGAGAGTTGAGGCCACGGAAAGGGCTACCTATAGGCTGGATTAAGGTGTCTTTGGGTACTGAATACTGATAGATGAGTGAAGCCGTAGCTTAAGCTTTTGGGTTGAATTGGTTCTTTACATGGTATCAGAGCCTCGGTATACCGGGTTCGATCCTCACCGCCCCCAACTTTCTTTCTAGTGGAATTTCTTTCTTCGCACAGGTAGGAGGGCCTGTGCATTGTCCATCCTTCAAGCCCAGTGGGCTCTCGTGTGAGGGAGCGTGTTGAGATATATAAAACCATTAAATATAGCTTCACCTAACAGCTTAAGCTTTTGGGTTTGAATTGGTTCTTTACAACTTGCATATGAGAAGACAATTTTTTGTATGAAACATAGTTACTAATGGGATGTCTAGTGCAAGTTCTTATCCCTTTTCGGAGAGCAATAGGCCAGTGCAAGTCATCTTCAAGATTTGGTGTAGGAGACTCAAATTGGCTTTGTCTAGGAGGAGGGTTGTCTGGCTGACTGATTGCTTGCTCTTCATAGGCTTCCTCTCTGGTTGCATCAGTGGTTCTTGGTTCTTCTTGGTCATGAGTGATAAGAATTTCAATCTCGGGTGGCATAATGGGGTTGGCTTTAGGTAGAGTAGCTGGGAAGATTGGCTCAGGTATGAAGGAGTTTAGGGTGCCTTGGTCTTCTGTGGGAGAAACAATTGGACATTCATTTGGCTGTCTTGGATCACTATTCCCCTAAATGGGCAATTGGTGATAATAGAATTGATCTTCAAGGAACATAACATCCATGTTGACATAGGTTTACTTGGTAAGAGGGGCATAACACTTGTATCCCTTTTGTGTAGGGGAATAGACTATGAAAATGCACTTAATGGCCAAAGGTTCAAGTTTACCACAATGAGTATTATGGACAAAGACAGTACAACCAAAGACCTAAGGAAGGAGAGGATTTTTTGGAAAATGAGGGTAAGTGAGAAGGATTTGTTGGATTGGAAACTTGAAATTTAATATCCGGGAAGGCATGCGGTTAATGAGGTAGGAACCGGTAAGAATGACTTCACTCCAAAAATGTTTGGGAGTATTAGAGGTGAAGAGAAGGGTATGCCCAGCTTCTAAAAGGTGGCGGTTTTTCCTTTTGAAAATACCATTTTGTTGAGGAGTATAGATACAGAAGCTTTGGTGAATTATGCCATGTTTGGTAAGGTAGGATGAGAGGTTGGAATTAAAATAATCCTTTGCATTATCTGACCGAAGGACTTTAATTTGGTCTTGGAATTGAGTTTGAACCATTGAGTGAAAGGCTTCGAATGATTAATATACTTCTAATTTAGAAGGTAAATCCATGTAAGGCGAGCATGGTCATCAATAAAGGTTACAAATTAGAGGGGCCCATTGACATTTTCACATTGGTAGGTCCCCATACATCACTATGGATCAAAGAAAATGGTTGAAAAGGTTGATAGGCCTTTGGAGGATAAGTGGATTTAACATGTTTAGATATTTGACATCACTCACAAGTAGGAAAAGTTGCACTTTTATTGAATAAGTTCGGGTACATTTTTTTTCATGTAATCAAAATTTGGATAACCTAATCAATAATGCCATAACATCACATCCTTGTCATTTCCAGCAAGAGTCATGAGAACTTGAGGCGTCCAATATTTTGCAATGATTTGGGAAAGACTACCCATCCTTGTAGCATTGCCAATCCTCCGCTCCGAAACCAAATCCTGGAAAGAGCAACCATTTGAGTTAAAGATGGCAACACATAGTGAGTCTCTTGTTAGTTGACTAACAGAAATCAAATTGCAAGATAACTTGGGAACAAACAAAACATCTTGTAATGTAAATCCTGTAAAAATCATTGTCATCCCAATTCCTTGAACTTCTATTGAGTTACCATCAGCTAAGGTGACTGTTTTCTTCTCAAAATTCTTATGAAGATGTGATAGGAGAGAGATATTACTAGTCATATGGTGGGAAGCACCAGAATCCACTATCCAAGTATCATCTTTGTCAGAAAAAGTGTGGAGAGCAGTGAATTTACTAGCTTGTACAATGGCACTAGCGCTTGGAGTTTTTATATCATCATGAGAGACAAATAACTTCTGAATGAACTCGATTTTCTCCTTACTTAACAGATTAGAAGTTTTGGAAAATGACATGGTGTCATTGGATGTTGGGGTTGTGACTGAATCCTCTACAGAGGTTGAATATCCTCTACCTTCCGTTGAGTACTTTGACTTCCAATTGGCGGGTTTCCCATGCAACTTCCAGCATACTTCTTTGGTATGATCAGGTTTGTTACAATTATCACACCACGGTCTCCCGTTGCGCCTGGATTTGCCATTAGTGAAGAACATTTTTCTTGCCATAAGAGAATTAGCTTCCATAATTGAATTATTATGGTGATGGGGCTGCACCAGTTGTTGATGGCTTTCTTCCCACCTAATTTCAAAGAACACCTCCGTTAATAAGGGTAAGGGGCGAGTAGCCATGCTACGGCTACGAGCACCATCAAACGAAGGGTTGAGGCTAAGAAGGAAGTGGTAGATACGCTCCCTCTCCACATACTTGCGGAACGTTTTTGAACAGCCAGTGCACCCCTACTCCAAGGTCTCATAAGTGTCCACTTGCTGCCCATATTGGGTAACATTTAACTCACCTTATTTCAATTCTATTAGAACCCCTTTAACTTGAAATAGAGTTGCTGTGTTATCCTTCTTAGAGTAACCAACCTTGACTACATCCCAAATTTGTTTGGTAGACTTGCATATAATGTAATTTTCTCCCATTTCAGCAGTCATGGAATTAATGAGCCATGACATACTGAGGTTGTTTTCTAAGTCCCACTGCTCATGTTTTGGATCGTCCTCGTTGGGTTCTTTTACGATACCGGAGAGATACCCAACCCTTCCTTTTTTTTTTAGGTGCATGAGAACACTTTGAGACCACAACAAGTAGTTTTCTCCATTGAATCGATGTCCAATTATGATAAGAGATGGACTTTCATTTGAGATAGGAGATGGGGCTATTGGGTTTAGTGTTTCATTGTTGGGGTTTGAAGTTTCACCATCAACATTGGTTTGAAGGGCTCTCATGGAGCCAAAATATAGTGTGGACATGGGATAGAGATGGTGGTCAGGCCCTCAAGAGGAGAGCTTTGATACCATGAAGAAATCTTAGAACAAGAACTTAGGAAAAAGAGAGAGATAGCACACACAAAAAGGCTGTATTTTTCATTGCACATATTCAGTTCTACACTAGAATATTTATACAAGATGAGCATTAAATACTATAACAACTAATTTGCCAACTAACAACTAACAGAGTTAATGCTACTAACAACTAACCTGCAAACTAACAACTAACACAATAATAAATGCAAAATCTGACAGCTAGGCTGAAATAGCTTCCTAGAGAAGTGCCTAAGAAAGTGGCAGACAACTAGGCTGATTATGTTGACTTCAATAGAGCTGAATATCAACATAGACCAATTGTCTCATAGACTAAAAGTTTGGAAGGTGTGCACAAGAAGACCCAGGAAGGAAGTTCAGGTGATAAGGCATAGTGGAATGAGATTGATTATTTAAGGGTGATTAGTAAGCAAAGAGAGGGTGTGAATAATCATTCTCTTGTTCAGCAGTAAGCTACGGGCAGAGGTGTATTTTGTATAGGAGCTTCATTCTGGGAAATTGTTAGCAGTAGCTATCTTCTACCTTTTTGGTCTATTTCTTCTTCTATAGCCCATTTATGCTTTGAAGCTTATGTAAAATACAATAAAATATCCTGTTTTTACTCTTTATTGTTGGGTTCCTATCAGATACCTTGAGCTGATTTTTGGTCCTACTGCAGAAAACCCAGAAAAAATAAAAAAGAAGCAAAAAATAATCAGCAAGCTGACAGATATGCAGTACATTCCAAGATGGTAGAACCCTTAATCATTCAAAACTACATAGAATTGCCACTAAAGACTCAAAGGCATAAATCAACTTACAGAATCAACCACCAACCCAAATACAGAAGCATAACTGCATTTATCCCCGTGAATAGTCCCACATTAAAGTCTATCAAATAAGAGAATCTATGTAGCTATGAGAGGCTCAGTATAAAACAGAGCACCAATCAAATAAAATTCATTAACAAGAATATTCAGCACTATGCTAATCTCATTTTTAATCAAGTATGGCAAAAAAATGAAAGGGTGAAATATGTTTCTTTTCAAACTGAAACACCATGCGCACTAGATGTTTACACTTTAAAACAAAAAGAAAATCAATAGTCTATGAAAAAAATAAGATGCCAAGCAAGCAAACAATTAAGGTTATTGAAACTCAATTTATGCATACTAGTTTGCTAGGACCTTGAGATTTTACTTAAGATTCGTACTTTTTTGTGTTGTTTCAAAGTTGGAGCTCTTTAAAATGTATGTGACTTTGATTTGTTTAGAATTTAAGCTTAATGATTATGTTTCTTATTTAGTGGTGTTTCTCACTTGGCCCATAGATGATGGATGCCAAGAAAGCAAACAAATATTCCTTTATTCAGATTTCAGATCACATCCATCAAACCAGATCATAGATACATAAACAAAACATGGATTTAGACCTGGAACATTCATAGAGACCCAAAACGTAGTACCCCAACTTTAAACACCAACATAAAGCCAGAAATAAAGCTCTCATAAAATCAAGGAAATCATCCATTAACAGCAAAGACAACATATCTGAACCAATTTTTGCTACCTTCTAGCATACCCAACAGTGCCCATGCTTACGTTCATTTAACGAATTCATCATTCACCCATTACAATTCAGAAAATAAAAAAACAAACTAAGCCATGTCACATATAAGGCATTTCATCATACAGGTTGTGGGCAACCAGAACAAAAACTAAACTAAAGAAGCAATTTAGTATACTAGAAAACTATATACAACACGAATCTATAAAAAAATTAAAAAAAAAAAAAAAAGGTTACCGTAATCATAGCTGATTCTCAAACACTGATGAAATTCGGTTTGGCCGCGAGTTTGCAGGGTATGCCCGTGAGGGTACCAATGGAAGAAGATATGTTGGAAAGGAAATCGGTCATAATTATGCGTTTAGCGAGGAGAACAGGGTCATTTCCTTAGTGGAAGGGATTGGGTCCAGAGTGATATGGGCGATTTTGTAAGATCTACCGGCAATTTTCCAACCGACACGAATAAAAGACTTTAGTCGAAAATGATATATTTACCATTTTTTTTTTTTTATAAACTCTTACAAATTGAACTATAAAATATTTTTGAATGAAATTTTACGGGACATAATATAATTTATAAATTCGTAAAAAAAAAAATTGTTAATATAACCCTCTCATTAAATAAATAAAAATTACCTTTTGAAAGTATTAAAGTGTTGAGGGATTGGGTTGGGTTAATTTATTTTTTGGATTCCATCCATCCAAGAGACACGACGACCGAATATTCAGGTATCAAATTTGGTTTATTTTACGTTGCTTCCTATTTAAACCTTTTAATTTCTTCATTATTTGTAACAACTCTTTACTTGGGTGGTTCAAATATATCCATTCCGTACATATTTTTTTCTGAGTTTTTTGAAATAAATAAACCATATGGGATTTTTGGAATTACAATAGGTATCTTTATTACACTAGCTAAAACTTATTTGTTTTTGTTCATTTCTATCACAACAAGATGGACTTTACCTAGACTAAGAATGGATCAATTATTAAATCTTGGGTGGAAGTTTCTTTAACCTATCTCTCTTGACTTAGTTTAATTTGGAAAAAATATTTTCTCAACCTACTATAAATGTGAGTTAGGGTTTAATTATGACTTGGATTATTTTTGGCTTTTTTTTGTAATTTATTTAGTAAAAAATTAAATTTAAGTTTTCTTGTAAAAAAAAGAAAGGTATATTTTGTTAAGAACCTTGAGTTCACTACCCCAAAAGCTAGCTCAAAGGGTAGGAGTGCTTAAGGCCTTATAAATCTCACATTAGTTGCCCATACAACCAATGTTGGACTATATTTCTCTACACGCCCCCCACACGAGAGGGCACTAGGCTTGAAGGGTGGACAACATACAAGCCCACCTACATGTGGAAATTCCACTACAAAGAAAGTGGGAGGCGGTGAGATTTCGAACGATACCATGTTAAGAACCTTGAGGTCACCACCCCAAAAGCTAACTCAAAGGGTGGGACTGCCCAAGGCCTTATAAACCTCACATTAGTTGCCCATACAACTAATGTGGGACTATATTTCTCAACATAATGTGGGCTTGTATGTTGTCCACCCTTCAAACCCAGCTCTCGTGTGAGCAAGGAAGCACGGACACTTGTAAAAACAGGAAGAGTCGGGTCCGACACGCTCCGACACGGTGACACGCTCCGACACGCTCCGACACGGTGTCGGACACGCGGTTGACTTTTTCCGACACGTTGACCATTCCGACACGCGAATTTGACCGTGTCCGACACGGTCAAATGGTATTTTAGTAAAAAAAATTTTAATTTTTTTTTAAAAAATTGTTTTTTTAAAAGTTAAAATATATTAATAAAGCTTCTACCTGATCATATCAATTTTATCTTTTTGTCTTTTTTCCCCTTAAGTAGATAAGAGATCATCTCAGCATCATTGTTGTTAATTCTTATCACGCTCTTGTTGTATCTTCTTCTCTCTGATCTCTCTCTAATATGTTTTGATCTCTCTATCTGATATTATATCTCTCTCTCATCCCAGTTCTTATTTTTTATTAAAGCTTCCATCTTTATAACGTGTTGATGGGTATTATTAATTTAGTTTCATTTTTTTGTTAAATTATTAAATATTAAATGAAATATACACTATATAAATTAAAAATATTATTTAATATTAAAACGTGTCCCAACGTGTCGAAATCCATAATTTTTTAGGATTGACGTGTCGGAGTGTCGTGTCGTGTCGTGTCGCGTGTCGTATCGGTGCTACGTAGCGTGTGAGGGGGCGTGTTGAGAAATATAGTCCCACATTGGTTGTAGGGGCAACTAATGTGAAGTTTATAAGGCCTTGGGCACTCTCACCCTTTGAGCTAGCTTTTAGGGTGGTGACCTCAAGGTTCTTAACATATTTGACCAATTAGATTAACTTATTTATTTATAATATCTATATAACTAAATTTTTTTTTTTTTTTGATAACATTAAGGGGCGAAGCCCCAAACAAAAACAAACAAACAACCAGAAACAAAAAATAACTATCCAGGGTCTATACCCCTACAAGAGGAGATTCCCTGAAGATCGTGATCAAATAACTGAGCAAGGTGAAACGGCATAACTCTATGACTCCAGAATCCAGTATCTTTGTGAAGAGCAGACTTGGCTAACCAATCAGCACAGGAATTAGCTTCCCTTGGAATATGAGAAAGCGTTACCTTCCAATCCTGACCGATGAGTGCTTGTATCTTAGCCACTATACGAGGCTGACAAGCTGCATTGCAATCAGCAAGCAAAGAGAATACTTCAGAAGCATCTCCTTCTAGTTCCACCTTCTTAAATCCCAGTTGCCAAACCAATTCCAGACCTTTTAGAGTTCCCCAAAGCTCCGCCATTAAAGGAGTGCAAGCACCAATATGATACTCAAAGCCTCCCAACCAAGAGCCATCATCAGATCTGATAATCCCACCACAAGCAGCCACCTCAGTATTCCTTTCAACTGCCCCATCAATATTAATCTTCACCCAATTTAACCTTGGAGGTTTCCATAAACTCATACGAGTTGGATGAATGCTAGTAGTAGCCATAGCCTTCCTACCCATGCAGTTACGAACTTCCTCTATATACATAGCAATTATGTGCGTTCCATGGGTTGGATGCTTGAAGTTAGTATCATGGACACTTTTGTTCCTCCATCCCCAAATGAACCAACAAGAGATAAAAAAGACATCACGCCAATCATCTGAATTACTTTGATTCCAAGCTTTTGAGATATTATTTTCAACCCAATCTCTAAGATCCAAGCTGTAGAATAAGCTTTGCCGATTAGCTGAAACCAGAGAATTCCAAACACTTCTAGCATGCTTACAATCTCTTAGAACATGGAGGTTTGTTTCCAACTCACCAGGACATATTTTACAATGACCAGATTCCCCACTCCATCTAGATGTGCGGTCTTTAGTAAGAAGGCGGCCATGCATTATGATCCACATACAAGATTTAACACGTTGAGGCCCATGCCATTTCCATATGGTAGTCCAAGAATTTTTCAACGGCATGAGAGGGAAACCAAGCATGTTATAATACACGGTTTTAACTAAAGAGCAGCCAACCTTTTGATTTCTCCAAATAATGCGGTCATTTCCATCCGATGCGCTAGGAATGAGAGCAGCTTGGATCCTTGCAACAGCTTGATCATTGAGATATTGACGAATATAGGGAAAGTTCCATTGACCAGTATTGCTGTTCACGAAGGCACTAACAGGGAGATTCAACTCCAAACCAGTTGGAGTACGAGTAGCCAGAGAGGCAAGACACTCAGTTAAACCCAACCAATTGTCTGTCCAAAATAATGCATCATTACCGTCTCCAATCTCCCATTGCATTGCTTGAAGAAAAGATGGCCAAACACTACACAGATTTTTCCAGAAGTATGAGTCATATGCTTTATGATTTACTTCCCTCCGAAGATCCAAACCTCTCTTATATTTACTTGTTACAACTCGAACCCACAACGAATCGGGCGAAGTAAGTATCGTCCATGCAAGCTTGTGAAAGAAAGCCATATTTTGGACACGAAGGTTAATCACCCCTAAGCCACCCATGCTCTTAGGCTTGCAAATATTATCCCATGCAACCAGATGAGATCTCCTTTGACCATTTTTATCACCCCAAATAAAGGCACGCTGCAACTTCTCTATTTCATCACAAATGGCTACAGGAAGCAGACTGTGTTGCATTTGAAATATAGGAGTTGCTGAAATAACGGAGTTGGAAAGTGTAATTCGACCGGCAAAAGATAAGACCTGGTTACTCCAACCAGATAACTTGTGCCTAATTCTTGCAACAACATCAGCATAATGGTCTTTGGTTACTCGACCATGTTTCATCATGGACCCAAGATATCTCCCTATATTGTGAGTTTGCTTGAAGCCACACACATTTGTGATATCATCTGCAATGTGAGCATCTGTATTTTTCGAGAAAAAAATACTAGATTTCGGAATACTAACCTTTAGGCCAGACATTGAACTAAAAGTCTCCAAGCAATCCACTATAACTTTGATTTGATCTAGAGAAGCTTCTGCAAACAACATCAAATCATCAGCAAACATCAGATGGGCTATCTTAGGACCTTTTGATCCCACGGAGATTGGCTTCCATCTCTTATTGTCAACCATATAACTAAAATTTTATAATACTTACATAATTTACATATTGTTCGGGACCCGAGATAACGATAATCCTGTTATCCTATCACTAAGGGATAAATGATAAATTACTTATCATACCCCCAACAATTATACTCCTGTCTGAACTTTACATTTACAGGTAATCCCTCATATAAATAAAGTGTTACACCTCTTAGGTACATACTATTAATCCCCCACTCTCTTACCTATTGTTGTGCAGACATGCCACGCCTTCGGCCATATGCGAATATTCTTGTGCAAAGTAATATATTATGTCTTGCGGTGTCTCTTCCATAGACTCCCATGAACGTACCGATCCAAGATACAAATACCAACCTTACGTTGGATATTCTGATTATATTGGATCAAACATTGATGTCATTTGTGGGGATCGATAAACTTCAATTGTCACCCAATAATGATGAAAGCGGCAGCCACCACGATAATCAATTCTAATAGGATGGGTTCAAAGCACAAAAAGGAAGCCTCATCAACATCATCGCAACAAACCAATTTCCAATCCACCATCTCAAAAGCCGAATAAGGCACAATACTGCCCTATGAATGCAGGTCTAGCATCACGAACGGTCCTTCCCTCTGCTGTTTCATTACGTTGACCAACAAACTGTTGGGCTTCCTCCTTCAATGCTAAGCCCAAGCCCATTTGAGGGGTTTCCTAAAAACCCTAACCCTAATTTCCACCTCCTCTATATATA